TATTAACTGATTATCTGTGTTTATCAATTAAAAGGTTTTTTGCAGAAGAGTATCTTTCATATGCTGGTTTACAGTAAACACTGTCTGATCAATTCATCATCAAATATTTTTGAAATTGATTTAACTGAGCAATCATACATTTCATAGAACAGCAGTACAAGGTGTGATTAAGTGTTGCTTACTACTTGGACTTTCCTAACCATCAGTAAGTAAGCTGTGCTGCCTTTTGGATGATGTGTTAGGAGTGTGTCTTCTAAATTTCCTTTAACAATAAATAGTAGATTACTATGCTCCTTAGATGCTGACACTTTTCCTTCTAGGATGATTAAACAAGAACATTTTATACTCCAGCACTATAACAATATTTTGGTAATTAATTGGTAGCAGAATGCCTGTTTTCTATCTTCGCTGAAAAGCATCCACAAATCTAGTAAGCTTTGAAACTTTTGCAATACTTGATTCTCAGTAGATGTTTCTTGAGAGTTTAATTTCTCATATTTCTTCCAAATCCCACTATTGTTCTTTCTCTTCCCCTATTTTTGGGGTGATTTTAAATATTTATATATATGTAGAAATATATTTCTTAAAGACCTGGATCTTGAAACAGATTAAAAATTTACTTAGATATACACCTGATGGGGATCCTTGGTGAAGGAAAATTAAAACAGTACCTCTTGTTTAAATCACATGGTTCAATTAATTTGCTGTTAAGCAAATGTCTACTGTTTCCCCACTAGAAGTTTTGAATTAATGTGCTGTTAAGCAAATGCCTACTGTTTTCTCTACAAGTTTCCAAGGATCATTAATGGCTTGGTTCTTCACTCGAATTGATTCAAGTTTAACCTTGATAATTATGTTATTTCTTATCAGTTTTTGCCTTCAACAAATATAACATCCCTGCCTCTGTCTTATTTGCAAAGCTATCAAAATACAGGCAATAATGCCACATTAAAAATAAACAAAGAAATACAATATTTAAAATCATCCATGTTCTATATAACATGGAGAGCTTTCCCTATGGCTAGAGAATACATACATATTGAAATTTCAAGCATCCTGTGCCTAGTTATATTTAATTTCAATGAACTGTAAAATGTATCATTTGGCTCTCTGAGTGGCTGCATCCAAATCACTTTCAGTGGCCCTCTGCCACTGTATATTATATATACTTGTTATTTTCCCTACTTCGGGCTCCAACCCTATAGCTGGGAATAAGTCCACTAAACTTGGCATGCATAGGTCTGCACAGTTTAATGAAATACCTACATGATCATTTAGAAAAAAACCCAGAATTTCAGGCTTTCAGAATACTTACGTCAAACATCAGGACTTCATCTAGGCTAATTAAATAGTTTAATTGAAATAATTAATATCCCAATATAATTGCCATGTAAGAACATTTATAAGTGGGCAATTCTATATTCATTTACCTAGGAAAAAATCCAAATGAACTCATTGGAGTTTATTTTTGAGTGGATATATGATCTATAGAATTGTTACAAATTCAGGTAAACACTTTTGTTGTTGTTGTTATTAATCTGACAACAGATGACAATCTGGATTAACATATAGAAAGGAAAAATATACAGTCCTGACTGACACCTCTGAGATATTTGTTTTATGACAAATATAACTGAAGTTGTTTAAATCACTCTGACTTTCAGTCAGAGGCAATCAAATTGCTCTGTTTTGGAGCTGGTATTCGATGTGTTAAAGTGGGGGGCCATTATCAAATTGCAATATATTAATCCCCTCTGAGGTGATAAAGAATTTGCATAAATCATTGCACTTGCCCACTGCAACTGCTTGAAAATTCATGCGCTAAAAATAACAAATGTGAAGTGTTAAGTCCTAGAAATGCTATTTGCTGTGCGCTTAAGGTAGCAAAATTATTCTTTTGGGACAGGTGATTTAAAAGGAAAAAATTCTTTTGAGAAACAAGAGGTTGTTTGAATTGTACTAATGAATTCTGTTAAAATAATTTTTGATATTATTTCCTTGCTTTGCTAATAAAACTTAAAATGCCTGAGAGGCAGTTATAAAAGCATGTCTGCAGTTAACAGGAAAAATGAGCTCTCCTGAAATTAAGATTTAAATTGCTTTTACTACCACTCAGAATTCTGGTGTTCTAAAGGAAGGGCCATTAACTTAAATTCTGAAAGCCTGAAATTCTGGGTTGTTTTTTCCCCCTAAATGATCATGTAGGTATTTCATTAAACTGTGCAGGCCTATGCATGCCAAGTTTAGTGGACTTATTCCCAGCAATAGGGTTGGAGTCCAAAGTAGGGAAATCCCATCTTCAGTTTTTAAAATGTGAGGGCTTTAAAAAACTAAAAAAAAAACAACAAAATAGAGCATTTACAGCACAATTTTTGAAACCTATTTTTGCTCTTCAATGGAATTCACATCTGTCACAGAATAGGGCTGTCATGCCTTACTGAGGGAAGCAGGATTGCACCACCAGATTGCATCCTGTTTTGTACATTGTTTTGAGAAATATTCACTCTGCTTGCTTCTAAAATTTGACTTTCAAAACTTCCATGCAGTTATGATCTTCCCTGCTCTGTTGTGTACCAATTTACTAGACTGACACTGCTTTCTGCAGCATCATGTCTATTCACTGGGAAGAGTAATAATAAGTGTGATGTTTTGGAACTATTGTCTATGACAATACACACTTGAGAAAAGCTTCAGTAAAAGCCTGAGGTCAGAGAGAGATGAATCTAATTTCAATTTACAAATAAATCATTGACTACTTTCTGTTAATATTGCCAAGGTGACAAATATGTGCCAAGAATGGCTTCTCTATTACTTATATTCATTTCAATGGGACATGTACAGGCTTTTTACAAGAGTGGATCATGTCAAAATAAATATGATTTGCTGAGGAGGAATGCTTGGTGTCTTGTTCAAAGGTTAATTAAATTTGTAGGGAGGTGTTTATAGGATCTCACATTTACCCTCAGCAAAATACACCTTAATTCATTGTTTCATTAGTTTTGCTTCTGTGGGCATGGTACATATTTCAAAGCTGAAGAAAGTGAAAAATGAGGAAGTAATTTATTTGATTACAAGGTCAAATTGTTAATGCTCGTTTTTTGTTACTGAAAAAGAAATAGTTAGATAGTAAGAGTTCCTCAGCTTGGTTTCATTTTCTGTAAGTGAATGGAAGTTTGCAAGGGTTATTGATTTGGGTTTGTGATGTCTACTTTTTTCCTCCCTTTTAGATTAACAGGATTCTCTTATCAATGAATTCTTTCATCATCTATAGAAACAGTCACTTTCATGTCATTGGAATTACTAATGAAACTGGTATTCCCACTTCAATCGTAGAAAAAAAAAGATACAGTATCTTTCCAATGAGCATATAGGTGTCCTTTGAATCTGTGTTTTCTCTAGTGATTGTATCATTTTAATTTAAGTTCATGTCTTGTCTTCTTCCTTGTTTCACAAATCAGTTCTTTGCAAAAGCAGGGCCAATTCAATTTGCAGGGAAGAAAAAAATATCTGCCATTCTTGTGAAAACGGCTTCTGCTTGTGCTTTAGTGTTGCTGTTTTTTTAAATGAAACTGAGATAAACAGCAAGCTCTTCTTAATCTGACATGCCTGTTGTTTTAATTGTCTCCTGAGTGTGTCTGTATCCATGGGTAAAGTAACAAATACTAGCCCAAAAACATCTGAAAGGTAGCTTTGAGTAATGATTTTGAAAATTTGTGCAGAAAATATAACAATGCACATTAATACAATTTCCTTTAAACAATCTTAACTATATCAAGGTTTTATCCAAAAGTATATTGAAAACAATATTTCTCCCCCCCCCCTTTTATGAATTTAAAAAGATACCTAAAGTTTTCTTTCGGAAAAAAAAACCTGAAAGAAGTTACCAATAATCCTGGAGAACCTAATGTTCCAAATGGTTAGGAACACATGGTCAATGAGCACTTATGCGTGAATGTAAAAAATATGTGCAATTATTAATATTTTTACCAATAGGAGAGAGATCAGTGTAGGTCCACTTGTTTATTCAATGTCATTAAATTTTTCAGACTAAACACAGACTTTAGGCAGGACGTTGTGGGTTGCATACAATATATATTTTACTAGAAAACAAAACAAAGCAAGTAATGGGAGCCACAGATCATGATTAAAATGATCCATAAAAACCGTTTGGTTAATGCAACTCATTTGTTTCCCGGGAAATGATGTGTTGTGCAATATTTCGAAGAAGCATGCCTGCTCCTTCAGACACAAAGACTTTTGTGATAGAAATCCCTAGCTCTTAGGCATATAATAGTGGGCAGCGAGGTACTTGCTAGGGATGGGTGTGCTACTCTGATTCTTTCCCAGGGTCTACTTAACTGCTAGGCTAGAAATTTGCAATGCTGTGGGCCATAGACAGTGCTTTTACAAGCACAGTAGTTAGAATATAGTTGTCATCTTTACTTTACCAGGTTCCCATTCGGAGTCAGCCCTGCTGAATATCTCAAGACCCACTCCACTGAAGAAGGTTCACTGCTATTATCTGGAACCCTTTGAGCAAGGAGCTTCTTGGGGCTTTTTCTACTACTTGCTCATTTGTCTTGCCAGCAATTAGATGGAGTAGCATCACTATCCTTTGGCTTCCCTTTTTGAGAGGTGGTGTCAGCCTGGAGCAGACACTACTGCCTCAGATCATCTCACAGCATGCTATCACACAGAAAATATGCTATCTCTTCTTCCTGGCACAAGCAGAAGCAGTCTTCATAATAACCCAGCAGCTGTAATTGTCTGTGGGAAAAGATTTCTCCCCCTCCCCTTTCTTTTTTTATGAAAGTGTTTTAATTATTCCCTAGGCTGTCAATTTGAACTGTGTGTACTGTATGCCTTCAAGTCATTTCCGACTTACGGTGACCCTAAGGTGAACCTATCACAGGGTTTTCTTGGCAAGCTTTGTTCAGAGGAGGTTTGCCATTGCCTTCCCCTGAGGCTGAGAGCATGTGACTTGCCCAAGGTGGGTTTCATGGCTGAGCTGGGATTCAAACCCTGGTCCCGAGAGTCGTAGTCCAACACTCAAACCACTATGCCACACTGGCTCTCTAATTTGAATCAGCTATTTTAGTATGAAAAAAAAAGGAAGGCTCCTTGTGGCATCTTTAAAACTAACCCGTTTATTTCACCAATAGCATATGCATCTAAAGAAGTGAATCAGAAGCCATGAAAGTTTATGCTGAAATAAACTGGGTAGTCTTAAAGGTTCCAAAAAATTCTTTCACTTTTTTTTTAAATACTGTAACTTGATGTGCCTGCCTGCCTGCTATGCTATACAAATTTACATGCTTATTCAGGATCACTCAACTTGGTGCATTATCTTATGGGACCAAAAAAAGACTCTGCTAAGATTTTGGTCTCAGTCCATCAACTATTTTGGGTACTACCTAAACAAACACTTATCTACCAGTTTTCATCTATTGCCTGGAGGCAGGATTACCTTTATATACCTGACCCATTGTGACATATGTTTTACTTACATGTACAGTGGATTGCTTATTTTCATCTATGCTATATTGCTGCATTATCTTGTCTATACCCTAATGTAAAGATTAATTAAATTTCAAAAGTTATACTTTTAAACTATAAAGTATGTGTCACACCTTCTATACTATATAAAGGGGGACATCAAAGGGAAATCAGTAGCATCAATATGAGAAATGTTGGGGAAATTTCTGAGTAATAAATAAACAAACAAAGGTACTGCATGAATCCAAAGGCAATAAGAATCCAATACACAGGTTAGAGCCAGAACTGAACTCTCTTCAAAACTGGGAAACATTGTTCTTAAAAATTTCTCAGTTTTAATAAAATGCACAACACCTCTGCATATGTTAAGTGCTCGCACATCAGAGGGAAATAATTGTTAAGATAATTGTCCATTAAAGCAAAGGGTGCAATCACCCTGAGTCACTGATAGGAACTTCATCCTTTTGGGGGAGAGGAAGATTATATCTCCCAGAAGCCCCCAGATAGTGTGGCCATTAGAAAAAACAGCTTTTCCCAACAACTCTGTTAATAGCTACAGAGAGAGCTATCTTTCATGAATGTGCTTAACCTGCTGAAAAGCTATAAACCAGTGGTCATTTCAGTCATTTTATGGCTGAGTTTCATGAGTGCTGTGTCTCACAAATCAATTTCATTGGAAGAACATATTCTTGCTATCAACTCCCTCTATAATATTGCATAGAGATCAGTCACATCCTGCCCTGTATTTTCTTCTTTTCCTGCCTCCTTCTTTTCTTTTGAACAAAAATTTGCATTAGGGACTTTGTACGCTGTTAATAAGAACCACCAGGACTCCCCTGGGGCTTTAAAAGACAGCTGACTGCTACTTGTCTTTGCCACCATTTCTCACATATTTCCTGCCCTTTTTCTTGACTTCATACTCAGCACCCTGCCAAAGCTGAGCCTATTTATAATTACCTTAACTATCTTGTTTAAGTAAAGCTGAAGGACAGGGGAAGGGGAAAACAGTCATGCACAGATTCGTTGAAATAATTGGTCCATCAATAATGTTGTTGTTTTATACAGTGCCAAAAGTGTACATGGTGCTTTACATTATCATCTTGCAATTGTTAATTTGACAGTTCCCTGCCCTCTGACTTACAATCTAAAAAGACACAACCTGCAAGGAAAAGAAGATGGTGATAGGATGAATGCAGGCTGCTCTTCTCTCCCTTCAAGGCCAGGACAGTGGCATTTGGAATGGAGGGAGGGCCCTTCATCTGCATCTGGGCCTAGGCATGGTGGAGCCATGCCTCCCTCTTCTTCTCTCTCTCCAAGGCCAGGGCAGTGGCAGCTAGGAAGGCCAGAAGAAAGGGCTGGGTGCAAATCTCCAACATAAGTACTAGAGTAGCAGAATGCTACAAAGTTTAATTTACTTGTTGCTGTAGCTTGCTAAGATGCCCCACGGGAAGTCATGTGTTTACTTAGTTTCTTCCTGCCACCCCAATCATTGTGGTACCAGGGCTAGCCCTCCATTCTGCTCTGCATCCACCTTCTACATTGTAGAAATAATGCAGTTTGACATCACTTTAATTGCCATGCCTCCATCCTACATAATCTTGTGATTTGTTGTTTTGTGAGGCACCAGCACTCTTTGGAAGAGATGGCTAAAGAGCTTGTAAAATTACAGACCCCAGAATTCCATAGGATGGACCTACAGCACTCAAAGTGGTGTAAAACTATATTATTTCTACAGTGTAGATCACCTTAAGAACCAAGTGAGCTACATCCATTTTAAAGCTGTCTAAGGTTGTCAAATGACAGATCTCATCCAGCAGGCCATTCCATAATCTGGGAGCGGTCATTGAAAAGGCCCTCTGGGAGATTGCTGATAGTCTAGATTTTTTCACCTGTAGCAAATTCATCCTAGAGGACCTAAGCACTCAGACAGGATTATATGGGAGGAGGTGGTCTCGGAGATAAGTTGGACCCAAGCTATTTAGGACTTTATAGGTAATAACCAACAACTTGTACTAGTTAAGACTTCTGTCTTGATTTCCATAATCATTTTCTTTTCTTTTCTTTTTCTTTCTTTCTTTCTGTGCATGTGTGTGTTTGAATGACAATCTGTGAGCAAGTGTGCTTAATACATAACACTTAATGACACCAGCAAAGGCCATTCCTAGGTCTCAGGTTTTGGCCCATGAATGTGAGGGCTTGGGATGATCCTGAACTGGTAACCCTAGTTCATGAAGATTTCAGTGCTGCTGCCTACTTGCTCTTTGCATTTTATGTGTTGTATATTTCATTTCTACATGACCTGTGCTAGAATGACTCAACTCTGCGGTGCAAAAGGGGTCCTGTTTGGGGATTGCTCTAGGGCACCCACCACCTAAAACAGCCATTGTGCAACTTCACAAATTGTAGCATGTCTAGGGAGCATAAGAACAAATGTGCTACTGCTTACACAACTGGAGAAACCAACTGAGCTCTATCGAGATACTGTTCTTTTTTTCTGCTAACATTACATTGGATTTTGGCCTAGATCATTTTCATGATTGTTAGATTTCATAGTTTTCAAAATGGATTAATATGATGTATTGATCACATTTTTTTTAACACACACCCAAATAAATGACACTATTTTCTTCTGAAAAACAAAATAGTGTTAGATTGAGATACAAAATGGAAGGAAAGGCAAATTTTCTGTTTCTTGAATCAAGACATGTGTACAAATGAACCTCCTTTGTCTATGGAAATTATTGCATGCCAAATCCCTGCTGGGATAGACATCGGTTTTAACCATCACTGACAGATCTTAATGCACTACTCCGTGCCTGGGCAGTAGGCAGCCCGTTTCCCATTCTTGAAAAGCTGCAGAAGAAACCAGGGTTGGATATGGGCTGCCTACTGCCCGGGCAAGGGGCAGTGCAATAAGATCCCATCGGTGACAGTTACAACTGGCGTCTATCCCAGTGAGGATTTGGCACGCAATAATTTCCTATGTAAGCTGCCATAGCAATTTAGCTGGTGGAAATGATCAACATGCCCAAGATCTTGTAATCCACATAGGCTTCTGAGCTGGGGCTGAAAGCTGATTAATTGATTCAAGTATGCAGCCACTTTCTAAGTATTTGTCTCACTGACCTTTAACTTCATTTCTATTCTCACTCCTATTGATATGCTTTAAAGTTCTTCCAGTATCCTCATAACATTTTTGTGAAGTAGATAGTAATGGGTAAAGTTTCCTTTGCCTAGATTTGGGCAATTATGAACATCATTGGAGAATATATTTTAAAATCGGGGAGGCAGGGGAATTGGCCACTCGAGAGGCCATTATTGGGTTGTAATTCTTTGTGAATGGTTCACTTTCTATCAAATGTAGTGTGGCAAGTGGAGCAGGGCAACACATTACTTAAATAACCATGGGTGAGGATCATTGCTTCTTTGCTACTAAATTCCAAATTATGAGACTTCCACACATATGCAAAGGAGGCAAGCCTGAAACAATATGGTCTGGTATTGTTTGATTTTATTTACTGAGTTTATATGCCACCCTTGCAACACAAATGTTCTTAGGGTAGTTCATACAGCAATACAGTTTAAAACAATAAAATAATGCAATAGAGATTTAGCCGCCCCGATTGCTTTGCAGAGAGGTGGGATATACCATAAATTATTATTATTATTATTATTATTATTATTATTATTATTATTATTATTATTATTTAAAAGTCCTTGATCTGATTAAATCTAAAATACCTGTGGAAAAAGAAATGCCTTTGCTTGGTGTGGAAAAGATAAAAATGTTACATTCTGACACTCCATTTAGCTGATGTATTATGAAAATGGGGTGCCAGGATTAAGAAGGCTGTCTCCTTTATTTTCATATCCCTGTCTTGAAACAACCAACAAGCAGCATAAGGGGAGGGGGAGCTACTGGAAGCTACCAAAATATTACTTCCATTGTCAACTGCATATCCTCCAACTGTCCATTTTGACAGGGACAGTCCCAGTTAATCTGTTGTCAATGTCTTGGTTTTTCTCTCCTCCTCCCACTTCTTCCTTTTTGTCCTCAGCTTACTTCCATTCTTGCAAACTGAGTTCAAAGTGCAAATCGTTTGCTCTCAATTAAATCAGTAGAGAGGAGAGAAGCCAGTAGGCTCAGGCAAAGCCAAACAGCTATGGCCTCTCCTAACTTGTGTGTCCTCTTCATTAATAACTTCCACCATCTTGATAATAATGTTACTTGGCCCCACATGTCCTGCTTTTCATCTGTGAAACGTTGGAGGATATGCATTTGCAGGGAATGATATGGTCTGCATTACATCAGGAGGACCCTAAAATAGCACTCCAGTGCTCCCATGCTTTACGTATTTTGGTAATTTTAAGGCTTTAAAGGTCAACTTAAACAAACACAGAGAATTCACCCTGTCCCCAAAAGAGCACAAAAACAATATTTATAATGTTGTCCTAGGACCACACATGACTTATTTTTATTTTTTGAACTTGGAAATTTCCTACGCTGGGTGATTGGTACTCAGGGCTGGATCCAAGGTACAATATAGTGCTATGAATTACATTCCTTTTTTAAAAG